AGATGAGATGCCCAACTTTAGGATGGGATAGCCCCCCATTTAGGATGAGGCGATCACGAACCACTGGGGTGAGATGCCCCCACCTTGGCGATATATGGTGCCACTGATTCAGTGGCAGCACGAGTTGAATCTTCCGTGATCATACGTTGAAGGTCTTCTTCGGTTATCTGAACCGTTCGAGAAGTAAGTAGAAATTGATCATGTTGGGGACCCAGTGGGGCCTCACGAGGAGGATCGTTGGCTGCTGCTATGACGAATGAAATATTTTGGGAGCGATGTGAACCCCCAGGGAGTCGATAACCCTTGGCGAACGAAATATTTTGGGAGCAGATGTAAGCTCCCAGGGAGTCGATAACCCTTGGCGAACGAAATATTTTGGGGGCGATGTAAGCCCCCAGGGAGTCGATAACCCTTGGCGAACGAAATATTTTGGGGGCGATGTAAGCCCCCAGGGAGTCGATAACCCTTGGCGAGCGAAATATTTTGGGGGCCGATGTAAGCCCCCAGGGAGTCAATGGCGGTGGTGGCATAGGTGGCTATGTAAGCCCCCAGGGAGTCGATGGCGGTGGTGCCATAGGTGGCTCCACATGTGGAGCAGGTGCTGGTATCGCGTTGGGAGCATCTGCTCTCATCGTAGCGATATATTGAGTCATGGCCTCTGTGGCAGCGCGAGTTGAAGCTTCTGCTATCATGCGTTGAAGCGCATCCTCGGTTAGCGAGGCGAATCCATGGGATGTGGAGGAGGTGGCAAGCCAGAGCCTCAACGAGGTGGGAGGTCGTTAGCTGTGTCATTTTCTCTCCGAGCAGACGCCTCAGGAGGATCTTGTTGGCTACGTGATCTGGTTTGCATCGTTCCCACAGACGGCGCCAAAATGATGATGCTAATTACTTAGATCACCTGGGGTAGTGTAGAAAACGAACTGGGAGAGCAAAGCGGATCAGTAGCTTGACAACTCGATGATCCTGAGGTACCTGCGAAATGAGCACACGTGAACTACGCCGGGGGTTGATCCGGCGGAAACCCCTCCGACGATCAAGTCAGACGTGCTGATAGTGGAAAATAGTCCAGAGAATACAGTTGATAGTATTACTCAGTTAATAGGACGTACCTGAATAAAATGAGTAAAACCTCTATTTATATGTCGTTTATTGGGTTGGGTTTGCTTTGTTGGGCCCAATCCTTACTTGAAGGTGTTTGGGCCTCGGTGATATTAGTCTTCGATATTGAGCTCGTAGCCCAGTAGGTAAAGAAATTGTAGGCCCATTGGGTTGGCCCAAGTAGGCATATCACTTAACTATTCAAACTTTATATAAATAGTATATGTAAGATTCAATTATGCATTTTTTTGGTATAAAATTCATGCGTATATATTACTTTTATTTAAAAATTTTGATACATTATTTGAGTATTAAATGCTTAAAAATGATATTTTATGATTAATACATATACTTTGTGTGCATATTTATATCATTATCACTTTAAAATCATACAAATAATTAAAAAATGGTCGGACCGGTCCAACCGTGACCCAGTTGCTTGTCCGGTTCGATGTCCGGTCCGGTTTTCAAAACATTGCATTTTAATATATTTCCGATGACAATAATTTGATAACAGCAAAGCATTAAAACTTTTTTTCACGAATATATATATTTATTATTGCTCATAATCGTGGTTTCAGTAGATCAATTTGGTTGTGGAAAAATATGAATAATGATCACTAGTCCAAAAGGACACATATATTATAAGATAGAGTGAGTAATAAAGTATTTGTTCGAAAAATAAAATTGTCTTATTGGATAATGGAATTTTTTATTTTTGAAAAATTAAATAATAATGTAAGAAAAATAAAATAATTGCAATTTGCAGATGTTCGATTTTTTAGCCACCTAACCGTGGATCCTCATCCTGCCTAGGGATGGCAAAAAAAACCCGAACTGTTAGCTATCCGCGGGTATACGCTCCGTTACCGAAACCATTAGGGTTTGGTCATGGTTTTGGTATGAGAAAAGAAAACCGTCATGGTTTTAGTATGGTTCTGATTTTACCTTGCCGATCATGGGTACCCGACCATTTAATATATATATATATATATATAAATATATATATATATATATATATATATATATATATATATATATATATATATATATATATATATATATATATATATATATATATATATATATATATATATGTTACAATTATTTCGTGCAAATTAATTATAAATTTGTGTCCGATAAATCCCAGATTCAGTTTTAGCTACTGTTCTACTGTTTTACGAAGAGTTGCAACAGTTAATGGAACAGTAATAAAAAGACACAAATTTTAAAGTGGTTCGGATACAATTGTACCCTACATCCACGGGGACCTGCAAATGAAATTCACTAATTTTTAGTTTTACGAATACAGTAATAGGACTTAATCGAAAATGCAAAGACTCCCTCTTTGTCGACGCCGTTCTTGTATCCTACGCTGAATTGTCAATCTTCACTTTGCAGCACGTCCCTTTCCGCACGGTTGAAATTTCTTCAACGCTGAGTCCCTCAGTCGGCGGATCGACCTCCTCCCGAGATCTTCTGAGTTCTTCTCCCGAAGAACCGATCTTCTTTTCGCGTGAAAGAAGCAAATCGTTTGCTGTGTTTTTCTTCTCGAATAAGATCACAACTCAGGAGCAGCAACACAAGAGCAGAAAAAGTTTTTCTCTCAAAATAAAAGGGACAGTGTATAACGACATTGATGCTCCTTTCTTATAGTTCCTTAGTTGAATTAGTAGAGCCCTACACAAAAAATAGAGCCCATTAGGTTAGATATAATCTTACGTAAGGAAAAAAGAGTTATGTAAACAAGGAAAGTCTTATTCAAAGAAATTCCTTGTTAACAAAACACTTAGGCAATTAAATAAATTAATGACAAAATAAGAGTTTAAAGAACTAAGGAAACTTCCCTAGTTTTTATACACGTTTTTCGCATTCGTGCTGAAAAACCGAAATAGAATCCTCTCGGATTCTAACAATCTCCCCCTTTGTCATCTATTTATTATAATCAAGTCCTCCCCCTTGATCAAATACCTGACAAAACATTAGACTGCATAATAGAGTAACTGTTAGAACAGTTAAAGGAAAAAACAGTTAACGAAACAGAAAAAAAATTAAGCCTAGCAGACTATTAGAGGCCGTTGTTCAGAAAATCAATTCGACAACCACAAAAAAACTACTCCAGAATATATTCAGCATCAACGAACAACTCCTCGTCATCATTCGTATCAACTTCAGCTGTTGTACCATCAACTGTTGGAACAGTTGGAGGAACAACAGTTCAGTAGTAGTTCCAGCAGCTGCATCAGCTCCCCCTGTATGTGGTTCCTCCTGGGTTGATGCTTCGTTGTCAACTCCCCCTCAAGAATAATCTCCCCCTTTCTGAGCAAAGGCAGTAAAATAGTCGAGTTTCTTCTTCGTAAAAACGACCTCGAAAATCAGAGACCCCCACTAGGTAGGTTGGCATAAAAATCATGAACCACTTGACAGACGCCACCGGGTTTGATGCGCTCAGAGAAAGAACCGAGAATTAAAAGCATCGACAGCAGAGATAGGCACCACGGGATCCGGTGCCGAGTGACCTGCGGTGGTGCGAGTAGCGGAAGGCGAGGCAGAGTGAGTAACGCGTCGACGAGAGCGGCGAGGTGGCGGGGTGCAGGTGAGGCCAGTTTGGGTGGTTGCGATGGCGGTGCACACGGTGGTGGTGACGATTGGGCAGCCGGCGAGTGTGGCAGTAGAGGAAATGGTGGAGAATAGATGAACGGTGACGGCGGTGAGACTGGCGGCGACAGCGGTGGAGAAGACCTAAGAACAAAAACGAGTGGCCGATTGCCAAAATTGGCGGCAGAGGCGGCCGGAAGGGGAAGTGGGGGACGGCGTCACATGGCTCCGCAAGGGCAGATCGGCGACCGGAGCGGCGAGGCGGCAGTGGAGCCGTCTGAGACGTGGTCGCTGGTCGAGAGGGTCGTCGTTTAGACGAAGAAGACGATTCCCTGGTGTTCTTTCGTTTCCCATGACTATGTTCCTTGATTTCCTTCGATTTGGTGGGAATTTTAGGAAGTTTTGCTGCAAACAAAAACGACGGAGCAACCAAGCAGTAGGGAGGAAGAAGAAAAGGAAATTTGGGGAGAAAAAAACTTAAAAAAATAAGCAGGGATGACTGTTGGCCTCTTACGGGTATTTTAGCAATTAGGAAAAATATAGTGAAAAAATTGCAAATATTATTCTGCCAACAATGAGAGCAGTTAATGAAAACCAAAATCAGATATAGCAACTCTCAAACTTCACATATGAATCCCAGCACAGTTCAAGAAAACATCGAGAAGAAAAAAATGCTCAGAAAAGTGGGTGACTTCAAAAAAAATGATTGCCGCCAAAACATATACGAACCCACCCCGGTTTTTCTTTTTTTTTTTTTTTTTTTTTTTTTATATATATGCCTAATATGCAGAATTAAATTACTAGGACGAAAGAGAATATGAGTGAGTAAACACGAGTGAATAGGATACTATTAGGACTATCAAACCCATGGGGTTTATCTTCAATTTTAACAAAAAGCAAGCTCCAAAATACAAACTAACGAGACTAACAAAAAATTTAATACCCTGAAATCAAGCACAAAAACGCTCTTATTAGGTAGCATACACACCCTACTAATGGTAGCTTTTTCATGAAGAGCAGAGCAATTTAATTAGCGAGATAGTTGTAGTCGTGCAATGTGTAGTCCCCTGGGCTTTCTAATTGAGTCGTGTGGTGAGTGTTCGATCATGAGGTTTACCGGCTCAACTCAAAAAGGCTTCGAACTATTCACTGACCATATAAAAGTTTACAATGGTCGTGCAATGTGTAGTCCCCTGGGCTTTCTATTTGAGCCTTGTAGGAGCTTTCGGCCACGTGATTTACTGACTCAACTCAAAAAGGCTTCAAACTATTCACATACCAATTTATTATATATAGTATTTTAAAAAAAATTCAAGAATAGCTTTCACTCATTTGGAGAGGCAGCTTTTCCTTATGAAAGTGTTAAACCATGACGAGATTGTGAAGAGTATTAAATAAACTAAAGTCTCTATAGCTATCATTCGGGGATTGATGAAGTTTTACCTCACAAAGTTCGAAAGTACAGATAGTATCCAATACACAAGAGTTTTCATCACATGCAGCATGACTAATGCATAACTTAGATGAACAAAATGCAGTATGTGTGATGTGTCCAAAAAAAAACTAAAAGTTGCAAGTCTGGACACAGACAGTTGCAACAGTTTATGCAACTGCACAGATCAAACAATACAGATTCCAAGCGAATTTCGCAAGGAATCGAACCTATGTGCATCTAGGGGTTTAGTAAAGATGTCAGCAAGTTGTTTCTCCGTTGTGACATACTCTAATGAGACAGTTCCTTCCTCTACAAGATTTCTAATGAAATGGTAGCGAATTTCAATATGCTTAGTTCGAGAGTGCTGTACTGGATTCTTGGAAATATTAATTGCACTCATATTGTCACAATAAATATGCAATAAATCTTGACTAATACCATAATCACATACCATTTGTTTCATCCATAAGAGTTGTCTCATCCATAAGAGTTTTTTGCTGTACCAGGACACGAGATTGTTCCCAAGATAGAAGCATCCTCCAGTTGTGCTTTTTCGATCGTCTGCATCACCTGCCCAATCAGCATCGCTAAAGCCTCGGGTTTGATTCCTTTGTCTGCATCACCTGCCCAATCAGCATCGCTAAAGCCTCGGGTTTGAATTCCTTCTTCTACCGGGCCAATGACTTGATCCACTGGATGATTCTTCTTGACTCTTCTTGAGGGTTCCTTGTGAGTTTGATCATCCAATTCGAGAGGCCTGACTTCAGCTTCGTCTCCTGTTTCAGAATTGACGTCACTTTCTTCTGAAATGGTAGAGGCTACATCAACTGTTGGAACTGTTGGTGCGACACTGGAGTTGTTTTCCGATTCCTTTGTTGGTTCCTCTTCCAGTGGTCCTTTCCAAATTTCGTACGGAGTTTTAGTGGTACCTGGTCGAAGATAGACTCGATTTATGATATGACATGCAGTGTTAACTGCTTCTGCCCAAAAACGAGGAGCGATCTCCTTTGCGTTCATCATGACCCTGGCCATTTCTTGCAGAGTGCGATTTTTGCGTTCAACCACTCCATTTTGTTGAGGTGTTTTAGGTGCGGAGAATTCATGAGATATTCTTTTGTGCCAAAACACTGTAGAGTCTGACAGACTCCTCTTCCAGTGGTCCAGCAGAGACAAGAATATAGCAGTTGTCAGATGATCGAGTTCCTTGAATAACACAATTCTCGTCTTTGTCTAATACTCGACATGCGAATTTGTTGAATCTGACTTCAAGATCTTGATCACATAGCTGGCTGATGCTTATCACATTTGACGTGAGTCCTTCTACAAGTAGTACATTCTTCAGCTTTGGGAGATTCTCATGATTTAGCGATCCTTTCCCTAGCACTTCACCCTTTTTTCCGTTTCCAAAGGTAACAGCTCCACCGGTGATTTGTTGATAGTTTTTCAGAAACTCTTTAACACCGGTCATATGTCGTGAACACCCACTGTCAAAATACCAATCATTAGTAGTACTTGCTTTTAAAGAAGTAATCGCAGATAAGCATTTAAACGTGGACTTTTCAACCCAATTTTTTTGCTGAGGTCTATTGGAAATATCAATTTTATTTTTGGGTTTTTGAGAGGGTGAAGGAAAATAATCAGCCCTAGCAGAGTAAAGAGAACGAGCCACAAGCTTTTTCACAAGTTTTAAATATTTGAAGCATCTAGGACGTATGTGACCTGGATTTTGACAGAAAAAACAAGTGGGAATAAACCTTTTCTTTGAATTGTGTTTCGTTGCTTCAACAGTTGCAACTGTTTGTGAGACAGAACCTTGTTTAACAAAGTTGATTTTTCTGTTTTGATCTTCCTTTCGCTTTAGATCAACTTTGGGTAGCTGACTCCCTCCTATGCCTAGACGATTATAGTTTGGCTTGTTGTTGCTTAAGATTTCATCTAGATTACCTCTACCCAAGTTCAATTTTGCAATTGCTTCTTGAGTTTGAGTAAGTTTAGCCTGCAAACTATTTTTCTCTTGATCACTAGATATGATCCTTTCCTCAAGAGTAGAGATTCTTACCTTTAGTGTCTTGTTTTCCTCTACAAGCACAAACTTCTCCTTTTCCAGGAAGTTATTTACCTTAACGACGTCGAGCCATTTTTGGTACATTTTTTCATATACCTCCTTTACTTCATCCAAGGTTGGTTCTTCCTCATCACTGCTGCTGTTCGGATCCTCTGCAAAAGAAGAATTTTCGTTTAGATTTTTGTCATAATCAGAACACATATTTTCATACCTGGATTCTGTTTCACAGTCTGTTGCAACAGTTGAAGCAACAGTTGATTCTGAGTTGTCCAGAGGAACTTTGCTGCTGAATGCTACAAAGTTAGTGACTTGATCGTTGTTTCCTTGGTCATCATCAGATTCTTCTTCATCGCTCCAAACAGTAGTAAGTGACATTTTCTTCTTTTTCTTCAGGGTGTTTGCGCATTCTGATTGAATGTGACCAAAGCCTTCGCATTCTCGACATTGTATTATTCTTGGTTTTGACTCCTCTGAGTTATCTTGATTTAAATTTCTCCTCGAATTTTGAAAGTTCACGGGTTTCCCTATGCTTGGAAGATTTCCCCTTTTACCGATCTTTTTGAGAAATTTCCCAAAATTTTTCGATAGTAGTGCCAAGGATTCTTCAACTGTTTGCTCATCTTCTTGAGTTGACGAATTTTGGGGCGTTGCATATGATGTTTCTGCTTGAAAGGCTATCTTCTTTTCTCTAGACTTTTCACGATGATTTTCACCATGATTGAGTTCTTGTGCTAGAAGTTTCCCCATGAGTTCGTCTAGTTTGAGCGTGTCAACGTCTCTGACTTCTTCAATGGCAGCAATTCGGTAAGCGAATCTTCAGGTAATGAGCGCATCGC